AAACGTAAGTAATTTATTGTATCTTCAGGACACATAACATAGACTCCTCTCGCGGAGAAGGGGCTTTCGGGCGGGAAACTGTCATCTAGACGCGTGCTGCTCACTTGTCATTTTCGTACATAGCTGGGTCTTTCCTCCTGGACCGCTCAAACTCCTGGTTCCCCCAGGTGTAGATCAGATAAAACGCCACAAACGCTGCAACAGTCGAGAGAGAAAGCTGTGAGCAGAGAGCACAGAACCTCAGCTCCTCTGGCGTGGGGTGGAGCTGGGCTGTGGGAACCAGGCTGGCCTCTCTCATGCACCATGTCCTGCCCACAGTCCTCAGTTTTGACTTCCTACCATTCTGCCTGCTCTTTTGTTGTCCCTAGCTTTGAACTTGTTCTGTTTTGGAGATGGGGTCTTTCTGTGTAGCCCTGGTTATCCTTAAACTCAGGGATCCACCTGTCTCTGCCTCCCAAGTGCTGGGATTAAAGGTGTCTTTGACTTTTTTTTTTTTTTTGAGATAAGGTCTCTGTTTGGCTAACTGTCCTGAAACTAACTATGTAGACCAGACTCGTCTGCAATTCAGAGACCTGCCTGCCTCTGCCTCCTGAATGCACGAATGCCCAGCCTTTGCTTTTTATATTTTATAAGTGTTTCACCTGTATGTATGTTGTGTAGCACACACATGCCCCGTGACTGAGGCAATAAGAGAGTGCCAGTTCCCTTTGGAGTCACACACCGGTGCTTGTGAATTACGATATGGGTGGTGGGAACGGAACCAGATTCTCGGAAAGAGCAGCAAGTGATTTTAAGTGCTGAGCCATCTCCAGCTCTATGTTTTTGTTTTGAGACAGGCTCTTACTATACGGCCCTTGGGGACCTGAACTCCCTATGTAGACCAGGCTGGCTTCAAACTACGTAGATCCACCTTCCTCTGCCTCGGGAATGAAAAAATGAAACTTATGCCCCCGGCAATGCTGAACGCTGGGATTAAATGCAGGCATTATCACGACCAGAAACTACTTTTAATAAGAGGTTAAAAAACGGTTACAATTACACACTCATTTTATAAGCAACCAAAATGATGACCACAAGATTTAGCTTTGACCTTCCTAGTCTCTCTTCTTAACACTAAATGAAAAATTTCATGAGATAACTAAAGATGAAATTTACCTAACATAAACTTCACTGTCTTAAAAGCACATTTCAAGTTGCTGTGCTGGCAAATGCCTATAATCCCAGCCAGCAGTCCCGAGGACAAGGCAGTAAAATCACAAGTGTGAGGCCAGCCTGGGTTCCACACCAAGATCGGGTGGACCTCAACCTCTCCATCAAATTCAAGTGTACCTTCCACGGGTTCCTGGCATATTCGCAATGCCATGACACCGTCAGCAAATCGGCGCATAGCTAACACAAGACATTGCATCAGCATTGCAGCACTGATAGCGGACAGCGATGACCTCAGAGGGGGACGCGGGAGTCATCCGAGTGACCTTAGGCCAGTCACTCCGATATGGTGACAACTCCACGTCTGGTCGGGGATATTGGAAGGAAAGGTGCGCCCTCCCCCGCCAGCCCCGCACTCACGCGGCGCCACACGCAGGATGCGCTCGCGAGTGCGGCGCAGCACATTGGGGATGCCTTTGCTGAAGTAGTTCGGGAAGGCGCGCTGCTCAAAGGGTGACAAGCTGTAGGAGATCACGTGACGCATCCGCGTCAGATTCCCGAACTCGCGGCCCATGGTGGCGGCGGCCCTAAGGACGGAGGACACAGAGTGGCTTATGCCCGCAAGGAACTCCCACCGCCCCGTACCGACCCTCGCCACCAGGTCACCTCTACCTCCTCCACGCTGAGCCCGGCTTCAATGTCACTTCCGGAAGGGGCGGAAGTCGAGCTTGGAAATCTTAATGTCATTTCCGGGCACTACCATTTTCCGTCTGTCTCCAGGGGGAGACGACGACCAGCCCTAAAGAGAAAATGGCCTGGACCGCGGACCTCGGAGTGGCCTTGCGCGTGAGCGGGAGGTGCCCGGGGCCAAGAGGGAGGGGGCGGGGCTTACAGGTGCAGAACCGGTTCTTCAAGAGGCTGGGTGGTGCTTAGCGGAGCACGTGTGCCTTACCGGAGCGTAGAGGACGTGTGGGCGGGCTTATGTTGGTATGTGGGCGGAGCTTGGAAAGATTTTGGGGGGATTGGTGAGTGCGTGGCCCGGATTTTAGCACTGGATAGAGTTTAGGTGAACGTTCGTGAGGCTCCCGCCGTGCATGGGGCGGGGCCTTTAGGTGTATAGGGCGTGGTTTGTGCAAATGGGCGGGGCTTAGGGCGTGTGGGCGTTCCAAGAGCTGGTTCTTACTGCTTAGTGCCAGGGATTTCGTTGGATAGATACCAGAGCTGGAAGCTGCCCAAAGAGGGAAAAAGGGGACTTTGTCCTCCTGGCTGTCCCTTAGCGGAGGAGTGCCAGTTGCATGGGATCCCCGTAACCAAAAGGGGTTGGACTGTAGACAGACCCTCATGACTGCAGCACAAAGTTAGGGACACTGGGTCTAGGGCTACTGTAAACGCTGCCTAGGAAACTACTGGCAGCCGGTAGACTTGTCGAGAATGTGACACAAACGTTTCTCCTAGTTCAGTTACAAATCAGCAGCTCTCCGTCAGCCAGTTGTCAGACGCGGGTCGTGGTCATGGGAACTATAGAGGGGCTTCAGTTCGGGCAGGAAAGAGCCCCGGCTCTTTCCTCTCTTTATGGAACTTTTGTGTTTTCCCTAAAGTGCATTCTCCTAACTAGTACTGTCCTGTGGGACTCACGGACCTTTCTGTTTGTCCCAATGCCTGTAAATGGGATGACTGGCCAATTATAATCTGGCGATCAAACTGGGGCGGCGGCTTGGCGAACCCTGAGCTTCAGTTTTGCAAGGGTTCGGCTTTATTAATCAGGTGCTGTGCACTCTTTTTATCTTATGTTATGAGTATGAGTATGGGTTCACTTTCATCCAGAAGATGATCACCTTCCGAGGAGCCCTAGGTAACCCCTCTTTGCATGGTGGTGCACTTGCCCCTGGTTCTCCTAAAACACTATTTAGCCTGGTCTCAGCTCCAAGGCAGGAACACAAATACTTTAGTCAAGGACTAAAATACTGTCGTGAATTCTGCCATCTGGGTTGCTTGTTAAAAAATAAATAAGACTTACATATAATAGTACATATTAAATATGTTTAAATATGTACTACTTGTATATATCTCGAAACCTTTCGACCAGAGTATGGTCACATGGATTGTAGACCAAAACAAGGACACTAGGATATTGTACTTTTCATTACTTTTAAAATATGTATTTTGCCCCTTGGTTGTGACCTAGCTGAGGAGCACAACCCGGAGCAAAAAAAGTTGAAGAGGCAGAACCTGAAAAACTAAGTCCTGGACCCACATGTAGTGAGTGAATAGGAGGACGGTGGAGCATTTCCTCGAGTGGAAGGGGCTCACAGATGCTGAGAATACTTGGGAACCAGAAGAAAATTTAGATTGTCCAGAATTAATTGAAGCTTTTCTTAGTTTTCAAAAAGATGGTACAGAAAGGAAATCTTGTCTGACAGTGAATCTGATAAGAGCAGATCGAAGAAGGAAAGAGCTGCTGCCGACAAACCCAGGGACTTTGCCAGGGCTCTTGATCTTGAATGAATAACCGGTGCCACAGACAGCAGTGGAGAACCAGTGTTTCTCACAAAACAGAGGCCTCAGATGAGGCAGACTTGGTGCTGGCAAAGGAGAAGACTGTGACATGAAGTGTCCTCAGATTGTCATCGCCTTTAACAAGAGGCTAACGTGACATTCTTGTTCAGAAGATGAGGCGCAATAATTGCACACACACACACACACAAACGTACAATCTGGGTCTTACATTTTTAATTACTAGTGTGGAAAAATGGCATTCTAATGAAAATCAAGTTTGATATGCTGGTTTTGAAAGTATTGAGAGTAGTTAGGATATTTTTTGGTTTCTGTTCTGCTTCAAAAGGCATTGATTCCTTTGAGCAAATAAAAGCTTTCTGTAGTTGCTTCCTTAGATAAAATATGTATTCTGTGTGCAAAGGGTGCATTGAGTACAGGTCAGAGGAACCTGTAGGAGCCTCCTCTCCCCTTCTGCCATGCGGATCTTAGAGACTGGATGCACGTTTGTAGGACTGAATTTTGGTCATTGGGCTTGGTGGCAAGTGCTTTTATTCTCAGAGCCATCTTGCCGTCCAGATAGATATTGTGGGTTTTTTTTTTTAAAAAAATGTTATTTTCATTTTATAGTTGGTGTTTTATATTCCTAAGGGTGCCAGAAGTGGAGTCACAGGTGGTCATGAGCCACATAATTTGTTCTGGAAGAGTAACCACTGCCCTTAACTGCTGAGCAATCTTTCCAGTCCCAGGATGTTGTATTTTTAAATTGGTCAAGATTAAAGGTGATGTCCTCTTTTTAAAAATAATTTATTTTTATTATTTTATGTGCCTTGCTGTTTTGCCTGCATACAATCTGTGTAAAGATGTCTGACCTTGGAGTTACAGAAAGTTGTGAGCTGGGATTTGAACCCAGGTCCTCTGGAAGAACAGTCAGTGCTCTTTAAGGACTGAGCCATCTCTCCAGCTCTGTAATGGCCTCTTTTAATTTTGAAATGGGGTCTCCATAGTATGTAGCCCTAGCTTTCCTAGAACCCTCTCTGTAGACCAGGCTGGCCTTGAACTCATAGAGGTCCACCTGCCTGTACCTTCCGAGTGCTGGGATTAAAGGTGTGAATCACACCTGCAACCTCCTCCTCCCCCGGCCGCCGCCATGTCTTCTTTTAAAGCACACTACGAGTAAATGTTGTCCTATGCCAAATTTCCATGCCCTGTACTAAGGCCCCTGGCCAGGCTGAACAGCCTAACGTCACTCTGGAATTTCTGTACTCATCGTGACTTCCTGTGTTCCCAACTCACTGTGCAATATGTAACCAGGTAGTACTAAGGCTGTGGAGATGGTGAATCAAGAGAAAAAAAACAAACCTAATATTTCTGCAGTTACATCTCCAGCCCTAAGATACTTTGTTTTATAATTCTTCGGGTTTCTCTAGGGTTCTCAGCTGTGTGAGTAGTCCATTAGGGTGATAATACTTGGTGGGTTTGAAGTAAATGTCAGGGAAAATGGAAAAAAGCTAAGTAGACAAATCTGCACCTAATGAGAGCAAATTGTATAAAAATGTGCTCACAGCTGACTCATAGAGTGATGAAGAATAATCTACAGCTAGGCATCCTTGAGGTCTGATTGCAGAAGTGAAGCTGGTCCTCCACACCTAGATTTTATTTAAGGACAACACCAGGGCTTTCCCAGTCTTTAGAAAGAAGACCGGCGTGGGGAGATGCATTCCTTCCTAGTTCTCCCAAGCCATGGCACTTCCCAGCAAACTCCAGTTTGGATTTTGCTGCTTTGCCTGGCTGTGTTTTCTTACTAGCCTCAGCTCTCAGGCTTCTAGGGGAGAATCCCAGACTGGAACCAGTGCAGCTTTGGAGTCTGAGGCAGATCCTTGGTCCTTGCTGCTGCCTGTAGATGGGACCGACAGTTCGGGTCTCCTGCCTCCCCTCTTTAAGGTCCTGTCTGATAGGAGAGGTGAGGCCCCTAAGCTGCAACCTGACTCCAGAGCGCTCTACTACATGAAAAAGCTCTATAAGACATATGCTACCAAGGAAGGGGTTCCTAAACCCAGCAGAAGTCACCTCTACAACACTGTTCGGCTCTTCAGCCCCTCTACCAAGCATGAGCCAGCGCCTGGCAACCAGGTGACAGGTGGGTAAGAGCAAATTGTTCAACTGGGTGGAGAGAGGAGACAAGGAGCTTCAGTGTTTCTGTTACTAAGAGAAGCCAGGCTTTGATTTGAATTTGTTTGTTCTGAGTCAAGATCTTACCCTGTCACCCAGGTTCTACTCAAACTCTGCATCCTCCTGCCTCAGCCCTTGAGTACTGGGATTATGTAGGTTTACAGCATCACACATTTTTTTCTTTTGGCATTATTCTCAGTATCCAAGTCAAACAAATTAGTTCTTTTCTTTTTGAGACAGGGTTTCTCGGTATCATAGCCCTAGCTATCTTGACACTCTGTAGATCAGGCTGGTCTTGAACTCTGAGATCTGCCTGCCTCTGCCTCTCAAGTGCTGGGACTAAAGGCGTGCACCACCATGGCACAGCTTTAATTTTTTTCTTAAGTTCTTGAATTCTTTTTTGGTGTGGTGGTGCTAAGGATCAAATAGGGTTGTGGGACTCACACATGCTAGCTAAACCCTGTTACTACATCCCTGGGCAGGAGCACTGATTCCACTGTTTGCTTGGTGTGTGTATATGTGTGTGTGTATATATATGTGTGTGTGTGTGTGTGTTGTTAGCTTAAACCATCATCAGCTAAGAAACTAGTATGTTTGGGCAGTGGTGGCACAGTTTTAATCCAGCACTCAGGAGGCAGAGGCAGGCAAGTTCCAGGATAGTCAGGACTACACAAAGAAGCCCTGTCTTTAAAAAACTGTAAAAAGAAAAAAATTAGTATGATAGATTTTTGTTTTGTTTGAACTTTCCCTCCTCCTTTTCCTCCCTCTTCCCTCCCTCCCTCCCTCTCTTTTGAGACTGACCTCAAAACAGCAGTGACTCCGCCTGCCTTAGTGCTGGGGTCACAGGCCTGTAACAGCACACTAGCTCAATATGTCAAGGCTAGAGGAGTAATGTCTTGAAAGACCAGGGAAGGAGGTGAGGAGGTGGAAATTTTTAATAAAAAAAAAAAAAAGAAAATCTAAAAAAAAAATAGCTAGCATCTCTTTCTATTCTGTCAAGCTGTTGGCCTAGCATTGTGCTGAAACCTCGCTTTGAGCCAGTAGTGGCCGTGATGAATGGGACATTTCCCTCTCGTTCGGTTTCCTGTGAGAGGAAAGTTTCAGTCCATCTGGCACAGTACAAACTGTATGGCTGAGATATAGCACAGTTTTTTTTTAATTTATTTATTTATTGTGTATACAACATTCTGCCTCCATGCATGCCCACACACTAGAAGAGGGCACCAGATCTCATTACAGATGGTTGTGAGCCACCATGTGGTTGCTGGGAATTGAACTCAGGACCTCTGGAAGAACAGCTGGTGTTCTTAACCACTGAGCCATCTCTCCAGCCCCGATATAGCACAGTTTATGTTGAGTGTGCCAGATGCCCAGAGTTTGACCTCCAGAAGTCAAGCAGGGGATAGTGACACGTGACTTTAATTCTAGCCCTCAGGGGCAGGGGCAGGCTGATCTCCGAGCTCAGAGCAGAGCCAGCTGGGTCTACCCAAAGAGTTCCAGACCAGCTTGGGCTACCCCAAACCCCAAACCTCAAAGTGCTAGTCAACAATGGGAACAGGCCGGGTGGTGGTGGCGCACGCCTTTAATCCTAGCACTAGGGAGGAGGCAGAGGCAGGCAGATCTCTGTGAGATCAAGGCCAGCCTGGTCTACAGGGTGTGTTCCAGGACAGGCTCCAAAGCTACAGAGAAACCCTGTCTTAAAAAACCAAAAACAGCGGGAACAGTTTGGTAAGAAAGAGTGGGGAAGGCTTTAAAAACCAGCAATGAAAATCCCAGGGCTTTTGCGATGGCTTTGTGGGTGAAGGCTTTTTCCACCAACCCGACAGCCTTAGTTCAGTTCCCAGGCCCCACATGTTGGAAGAACCAAGTCCCACAAGTTGTCTTTCTACCTCCATACATGTGCCACAGAATGTGTGTCCATTAACTACCCCCACACACATACTCCTGAACACACACACACTGCGGCCACCAGTTCACAGTGTAAGGAAAACCATCATGACTGTACAGGGCGTCTGTTGAAAGCCCCCCTTCCTCCCGCTGGAGTCTTAGCGCCCCCATTTGTTTCCAATCTCACGTGGCAGTCAGATGTTCTCAATTGACGAGCTTCATCCAGGCCCAGTGAGTGTTGCTTCTGATGGTCTCCTGGCTGCGTTGTCAGTGGGGATGCCACCAAAGGGAGACATTCTTCTCACCTGCCTGTGTTGGAGCGAGCTGTTGGGTCTAGAACTGGGATGTAATGATAGTCTCTTGCTTTACCTCTCCAGCAAAGCTGATCTCACTTTTATGGAGACAAAATGTATTTGCATGTGTGGATTGGGAGTGGGGTTATGTCTGGAGGTCAGAGAAAGGCTTTCTGAAGTTGGATCTCTCCCTCCACCATGTAGATCCTAGGGTTCAAACTCAAGTTCTCAAAAGGAGCAGCGATCCTCCTGACTCACTGAGCTCCACTCAACTGCTCTACACTCAGACAGGCCAGGCAGGCCGCCTAGAACTCAGTCAGTAGTCAAGGGGCTATTGACCTCCTGGGCCTCTTGCCTCTACCTTCTGAGGCTTCAGTCACCCCATGTGGGTGTGGGCGGTGCCTTTGTCTCGTGGAACCAGTTTAGGTTGACCTCAAATTTGCTAGGTAGCTGAGAATGACCTTTACCTCCCAAGAGAGCAGGATTATGGGTTTGGGCTACAAGGTCCAGTCTCTTGTGGTGTGTGTGTGTGGGGGGGGGGGGATGTGTGTGTGAGTGTGTGAGCATGTCTGTGTGAGGGTGTGTGTGTGTGTGAGTGAGAGAGAGAGAGAGAGAGAGAGAGAGAGAGAGAGAGAATATGTGTGTGTGTTTGAGGCAGTCTCACAACATATCCCAAGCTGGCGCCAATCCTTCAAAGTGATCACATCACAAAAAAAACCTCACCTCCCTACCCAACTCAAGGCATGACCCCAGGCCCTTGTGCATGCCAGGCAAGTGCTCTGCCCCTGAGTAACATACCCAGACCCTCTATAATTTCCTTCTAAACCCCTTCTTCGCTTTGTTTTTGAGGCTTAAGGAAGTAGGGGAGGAGAAGGACAGGAAACTGCTTATGACTGACTACCAATTCTTCCATCTCACTTCCTGCTCCTTCCAGTTTGTCCCCAAGCACTACTTACTGGTTGGTGGCTTCTCTTCTCAGGACCCCTGCCGATGGCGGACCTGCTGTTTAACCTGGATCGGGTGACAGCCATGGAACACTTGCTCAAGTCAGTCTTGCTGTACGCGCTCAACAACTCGGCTGCTTCCTCCTCCACTGCGACCTGTGTGGGGGACCTCGTGGTAAAGGAGCCCGAGTCTTCCGGCAAGGCTCTCCTCCGGGTACCATACTCGTTTACCTTGAAGAAACACAGATGGATCGAGATGGATGTGACCTCCCTCCTCCAGCCTCTGGTGGACTCCAGCGAGAGAAGCATTCATATGTCTGTCAATTTTACGTGCACAAAAGACCAGGCCCCCAAGGACGGGGTGTTTAGCATGCCTCTGTCTGTGCCTCCCTCGCTCATCTTGTATCTCAACGACACCAGTGCACAGGCCTATCACTCCTGGCATTCCCCTCACTCCTCCCGGAGGCCTTTGCAGCATCCTGGCCAGGGCAGCGTGGCCACCCAGCCTGTGCAAGAAAAGGCTGCCGAGGTCAAAAGATCTGCCCGGCACCGTCGAGGGCAGAAAACCAGCCACTTGGAAGCCAAGAAGCCACATCTTACAGCCTCCTTCAATCTCAGCGAATACTTCAAACAGTTTCTTTTTCCCCAAAACGAGTGTGAACTCCATGACTTCAGGCTGAGTTTCAGTCAGCTCAAATGGGACAACTGGATCGTGGCCCCACACAGATACAACCCCAGGTACTGTAAAGGGGACTGTCCCAGGGCGGTCAGGCATCGGTATGGCTCTCCTGTGCACACCATGGTTCAGAATATCATCTATGAGAAGCTGGACCCCTCCGTGCCAAGGCCTTCATGTGTCCCTGGCAAATACAGCCCCTTGAGCGTGTTGACCATTGAACCCGACGGCTCCATTGCTTACAAAGAGTACGAAGACATGATAGCTACCAGATGTACCTGTCGTTAGCATGGGCCCGCTCCACCAACACCTGAACCCATCGGCAGAGCAACCCTGTGGGCTTTAGCATGCCTGGACAGAGAGCTTCACGTGACCAACCGCTCCATGTCACTCTGCACACTGTGTGAGGGGGGGAGTGTGTGTCAATGAGTGTGTTGTGGGTAGCGTCTCTGGGTATAAAGGGCACAACACCGATTATTGCCACAAACCACGTGAAATGCTTGTGTGGCGCTCTTCCTTTTTCTCTTCCCGTGAGTGTCTCTGATGCACAAACTCGTTAGCACAAGTCCCGAGTGGAAATGTAGCTGTGAACACTTAGTGTGCTGTGGTTTTATGTGATAGAAGAATAAATAAATTCCTGTTTATGGCATAAAATGTATGTGTTCTACTAAAAGATCACTTTTCCTTTTTTCAAAACAGGGTTTCTCTATGAACTCATTCTGTAGACCAGGCTGGCTTTGAACTCACACAGATCCGCCTGCCTCTGCCTCCAGAGTGCTGGGACTAAAGGTGTGCGCCACCACCTCCTAGCTGAAAAGATTACTTTCATATGCTGGTTGGAGGAGGACAGGAGGCTTTCTGATCGCCACCCTTGGCTGACTGCAGCTCTTTCTCAGAGGGAGGTGAACTGCGTTTCTGAACCCTGGTGAAGACAGTCAATGAGACTGTAGGTAGGGTGGATGGCCACGTCCCCTGAGTGACTTTGAGCATCATATTCTGTTCACGGCTGGCTTGTGTCAATCAGTTGAGTCACATAAAAAAACATAATGTAGTCCATTAATTTAAGGGACATTGTTTTTTTGCTTTTCCCATGAAAATCTGTTAACATTTTTTTTTTTTTTCTGAGACAGGATCTCAACAATGTAGCCCTGGATGTCCTGGAACTCACAATGTAGACCAGGCTGGCCTCAAACTCAGAATTTGCCTCCTAAGCTGGGATCAAAGGTGTGCACCACCATGCTTGGTTTCATTGCTCTTCCTCCTTTTTTAATGGGTATTGGTGTTTTGCCTGTGTGTGTGTGTGTGTGTGTGTGTGTGTGTGTGTGTGTGTGTGGTTGTGTGACATTGTCAGATCCCTGGAACTGGAGTTGCAGACAGTTATGAGCTGACATGTCGATGCTGGGAATTGAACCCTGTCCTTTGGAAGAGTAGCCAGTGTTCTTAATCACTGAGCCATCTCTCCAGTCCCCAGTGTTCAATTAAAAAGTTCTTTCTTTCTTTCATAATCTTATACATAGGTATATAATGTACCTTTGTACACCCTAAGCTTTGGTTTTACTTTGGTTACAGTATTTTTTGGTTGTGTGAGACAGGGTTTCATGTAGCCCAGGCTTGCCTCAAACTCACTACATAACCCTACGTTGCCTTAAACTCCTGATCCTTCTGCCTTCGTCTCTCAGGTGTTGAGATCATAGGCATATATGTTAAGGATTTTTTTAATGTATTTGTGTGTGTAGGGTGCATGTGGGCCACAGTGCACATGCAGAGATCAGAGGACAATTTCTGGAGTCCATTTTCTCTTTCCACCTTCATGTGGGATCTGGGGCTTGAATTCAGGTCTTCAGTCTTGGCGCAACAAGGGCTTTACCCTCTGAGCCCAGCCCTGGGTTGAAGATTTTAAAGGTTTTTTGTTTTGTTTTGTTTTGAGACAGGGTTTCTCTGTGGTTTTGGAGTCTGTCCTGGAACTAGCTCTGTAGACCAGGCTGGTCTCGAACTCACAGAGGCCTGCCTCTGCCTCCCGAGTGCTGGGATTAAAGGCGTGTGCCACCACCGCCTGGCTAAAGGTATTTTTATATGCATATTTGAGTAAGGTCTGGCCTGACGGAAGGAAGCCAAGGATGTTTGGAGTCATTGTTTCTGTTGTTTCTTTTTGTCATTTTGCCAGTCTCTCTCAGTTCGTGCCTGGACTTCTCCCAGGTGGGCTCAATTCTGCTCCTACTGAGTGACACTGGCAGTGACTGGTCTACTCCGACTGCTCTTATCTGGACCCAGGGGCTCTGTGGGGTTTTCACTGTGAAAGCAACTTAGAGGTACTGATTTCTAAAAGTTTTTTAGGTGCTTTATGTGTCTGAGTGCTTTGCCTGCATGTATGTAAGTGTACCACGAATCTGCCTGGTGTGTGTGGAGGTCAGAAGGTGCTGGATCTCCTGGACCTGGATTTCCTTGCTTGTGAGCCACCATGTGGAATCTGGCAGCCTCTGCAGGAGCCACAAGCGCTCTTAACCTCTAAGCCATCCATCTCTCCAGCCCCAAGTACTTAATTTCGCTTTTTAACTATCTTTATGTGTGTGGGTGTTTTGTCCAGATGTACATCTGTGCATCTTGTGCATGTCTGGTACCCACAGAGAACAACCCCCACCCCCAGTCCTAGTGCCCTTAATCTCTGAGCCATTCATTGTTCCAGCCGCATTTTGTTACTGCGATTAGTAACACAAATGAAGTCAGTGTTTCATTTCCCTTAGCTATACCCCTAGGAGAACTGTTGACTTGGTATTCGGTCTCCTTTTGTTTTTTGAGAAGACAGGGTCTCATTATGTTGCCCTGACTGGCCTTGAACTCAGAGATACCCACACCTCTGTCTCCCCAGTATGGGTATTAAAGGTGTACACCACCGTACCTCATGTAAACCCTTAAACTTGTGATCTTCCTGCTTCCGCTTCCCAGTGCTAGGGTTATAGGTCTCAGTCACCATGCAGATGTACAGTGTCTCTTTAGCCGTTTGGGGGTGGGCTGGACTATTCTCCCAAGCAGCAGCAGCAGTGTAGGAAGGCCTCACTATCCCTGCACCCTCTTACTTTGACCTTGTTTCCCCGCAGCCAGCCAGAGGCGTGTGAAGCAGTAGCTCAGTGTGGTGAGGGTTAGCATCATCCTAAAGACAATGATGCTGGAGGGTCTCTGTAGGCCATATTAGTATATATCTTCTCTGCGGTTGGGGAGACTGCTCAGCAGCTGAGGGCTCTTTCTGCTCTTCCAGAGGAGCTGGGCTTAATTCCCAGCACCCTTGTGAGTTTGCTCATAGACACCTGTAAATCTGGGGGATCCAGCAGATGCTTGTGATTAGAAATAAAATCTTAGGGATATGTCAGGTTTGTTTCAGGTTCTTTACCTGCTTTGTAACTGGATCATTTGTGTTTCTTTTATGAGTTGAATTCTTCGTTTATTCAAAGTACAGGTTCCAAATGTTTCCCCACTCTATGGATTGTCTTTTCAGTTGACGTAAATCTTTTTTTTTTTTTTTTCATTCTTGGTACCCAGAGAGCAGAGAGGCTGGAAAAGGGTGCTGGATTTCCTGGAGCTGGAGTTCCCACCACGAGAGTGCTGGGAACTGAACTCCGGTTCTCTGAAAGAGCAACCAGGATGCTTGACTGCTAGATCATCTCCCCAGCCCATGTCTCTTCACTTTTTTAATTTTGTTTTGGTTTGGCTTTTTTTGGAGACAGGATCTCTCTACAGAGCCCTGGCTATCCTGGAATTCACTCTGTAGACCAGGCTGGCCTTGAACTCAGTGATCCCTCTGCCTCTGCCTCCTGAGTGCTGGGATTAAAGGCGTGTACCACCTATGCATGGCTATCTTTTTTTAAAGTTATGTTTATATCATTTTGGTGGCACACATTTTTAACCCAGCACACAGTTGGCAGGTCTCTGTGAGTTTGAGGCCAACTTGGTCTACACAGTGAGTTCCAGGCCAGCCAGAGATACATAGTGAGACCCTGTTTTCAGAAAATACATTTCCTTACTGTGTGTAGACATATGTGTGTGGCAGTCAGAGGGCAACTTTCAGGAACTGATTCTCCCCTTTCACCTTGTGGGTTCCAGGGTTCAATCTGGGGATTGCCGGATTTGATGACAGATGCCTCTACCTGCCGAGCCACCCCCCCCCCAGCCATCTTCTCAGCTCTTATGATTAAATACATATGTCATAACAATTGACCACACTGTCCATATGTAAGCGTATGGGTCTGTGACATCAACTGGCATTCACACCATTGCCCGGTCAGCACATTTCCAGAAGTTTTCCTTCAAACCAAACAAATGTCACTCACTATGTGCTCACCTGCCCTGATAAGCCTCATTCTACGCTGTCCGGGAATTAGCCTCTTCTGGGACCTCCTACACGTATTCTCATTCAGGACTCACGCTTTGGTGGACATCTTATTTTACTAGTGTAACATTGTCAACGCATTATGTATCAACACTTTTAGGCGGAAAGGAGAGTTGAGCCCCTTTCCTTTCATGTAGCCCAGGCTGGCCTCCAGCTCACAATCTTCCTGACTCAGCCGAGTTCACATTTATCCTGGTCTGCCTAGTGAGCTTGAGGACAGCCTGGCCTATATGAAAGCCTACCTGGAAACAACATTACAATTCATTTGTAAATGTAGTTTTGCTCATACCCTAGGCAGTGTGACTCTGTGGGGCTGTTGCAGCCCCTAACTTTATAAACTTGAAGGTTTCTCACACATTTGAGGCGTGCCCACTTCCTCACCACCCCCTCCTCTATGCTAAACCTGCTTCAGTTACTCTTATTCTAAAAGCCACAACTTCAGAACAGGGATGAGAACGGACATTGGAGATAGAAATCTGAAATTCAAGGAGGAAGCTTCGACTGCCTTAAATAGATGCCTTGGGCTTTGGTATTTAGTCCAGATGAGATAAGCAGTCACCTCACTGTGCCAGGGCCTCGGAAGGCAGAGGAACAATGCTCCGGGATGGAGCCCCTGGTACCTCCAGTTTCCTGCTCTTATCTGTGTGTGACCGCTTTGTGCAGGCTGGAAGGGCAGTGGCCGCTCTCTTCAGGGCTCACTGCAGACAGCCTGAGGGGAAGCCAAACTGCTCTGTGGGGGAAAGGAGAAAATGTTCAGTGTTCAGTTACATGAAGAAGGGAACCAGCTTGAGAGAGGGACTTAGCTTCCATAAACGTTGCTGTAAGCATCTTTCATTTTAACTTTATAGCAAGTCATATATAAAAAGACGAAATTAAAATATCTTTTTTTTTTTTTTTTGAGACAGTGATTTATGTAGCCCAGACTTGGCCTGGAAGTCCCATCTGTAGCCAAAGATGGACTTCTACCCTCATGCCTCAGTCTCCCTACCCGGGCCTGGGTGTTAAACATTGTTGCCAACCATGGTGTCATAACCCTTTAATCCAGCACGAGTTCCAGGACAGCCAGGGCTACGCAGAGAAACCCTGTCTGGAAAAGCTAAAACAACAAAATCAAAGAAAACAAAAATTTAAATATTCTTTAGAAACTGTCAGTCCCTCAAGTATTTCTTAGGTATATAAACTGGCCGGAAGGAGACAATAGTGAGACATTTTGCTTTACTATTAACTGTTTCTTCAAAAACAAAGCAAACACACACAAAGT